AGATGTACAGGTGAACTAATGAATTCATGAATCTATTAGCAGGAAAGCTGTTTAAAAAAAATGTAAAGACTAAAACATATAGAAATGAAAAGGAGGCCGAGAAAAAGAAGCGGGAGGATTGTAATTCTCGGGTTTGCGTCCTGTTTGCGCTTGTACTCATTCAACGTAGTCAAGTAGGACGAGAGACAGTTCAGAGCTAGGAGGTTGTGGGGAGGGAGGCAGGGGGCAGATTATAGGAGAGTGAGAGATCAAGTGCAGCCAGGTCTGAAAATTTTGAAAATCTCATTTTTGGAACTCAAGATTTATTGCTTCGCCGCATCTTGATAAAAATTCGGTTTTGTTGTAATACGTTTCTTAGCCTAGGAAAGCACTTCTGTAAACTTTTGTAAAAACCTGCGGAAACTCCCTTGCTGCGGGAATACCGGGATCTGTTACAGGGATGTTATCTTCAGAGACATCAACAGCCGACAGAGCTTAGGTCCAACAGTGACGTTTTAATCCAACAACGTAACCAGGAACATAACCCGACACAGGATAGTGGTATCCGGTGTCCCACCATCGGAGGCGTAACCGAAAAACAATTGCAAAACACCTGTATATATGTTAGACTCTGAACAAATGATCTGATATTTCGTTTAGTAATCCTAAACCCCTATTGTCTGCCAATGAGCTTATTGTTGTTCTGGGCCATTGCATCATAGTCAAGTCAGTTATTTTGCTCGTTATTATTAACTACTTTCAACCTCAGGTAGATCTCACACACGATAATACAGATAGACAGGTGGTTACCATAGTTGTTGGACTTTCACTCCACTGTTAAATTTCAATTTCAGCATTCCAGTGTTTCAGTGTGATAACCGATAGAACTTGGAAAAGGGCTATTTTAGTACAATTTTAAAGAAACATTTTTACGTGAATTTGAAGTACGTTGTATTTTACTTTGTGGAATACCTGATGCAGTCACGTGGTTATAATTCTTGGTTTATAGAATAATACAACCTATTATTAATTGAGCGCTATTATTGAAAATGAAAAGCTAAAAGATGATCAAATCTGGAACTGGAACATTTCAGTGGTTTAGGTCAAACAAACTTCATAACAACGATTGGAATTGGCTTTTCTCTCTGATCCTGCTGGTCCAGCAAATAAATAACTGGGATGTCAATGAATCACTTTCAAGAATATGAAACGATCTTAAATATCACGGACAGTTAGGGAGAAAAAGCTAAATTATGTGTATCATTGATCAAATTTAGAAAAAAAAAAGTCGCAGCAATAAAACTATACTGGAACAAAAATAAAAATGAAAAAACGGCTGCTTCTGGGCTCATGCGTCTATTGTCGAGGTGATCTCAACAAATCGTCTTCAAAGCAATTCAAATTGCAGTAAATACACTAAAAGAAAAAGAAAATGATACGAAGATGAAATGATAAGAGGTGTACAAGTAGGCTGAAATATCTCATGATTTTTCAATCCATACTTTGTCAAGATAGCAATTAACGAATCCAAAGATATCCCTAACATGTATTGAGTCAGAGAAATTCGCGTTCAGTCTCCTTTGACCGTGAGGCCTTTTCCCTCTATGCCTGCCTCTTTTTCAAAACAAATCAAAACATCACATAAAAATTGAGTGAAAATTAACTATTCAGACGTGACGCACTTTCATATGAAGGCTCGATGCAAAAGCCAGCTCGTAAATGGTATACTTGTTGTGAAAACAGTCGCCAAGGTTTCATCCACAAAGAAAAGTAATGAGTTGTATAATTAGTTCAGTTGTTGAACATAAATGAAATTGTGCCTGCAACATTTTGTACTTCAGACTGGCAAGTTCTCTCGCACATGCAAATTAATAACATCTATGATGATTTAGCAGTGCGGCTTAGGGAAATCTCTGCTTAATTCTTTTAATGAAAGCTTGATGAGTGTATTTCTGTTCTCACTTTAATCAATTGTAAGCCGCATTGAAATTTTGATATAAAAACACATCTTCGTTGGGGATAACATAACCACCAAAAATTGATGAGATACACATATATTGATTACACATGAAAGTGTTTATTACCAAAATTAAAATGGCTAAAAGATGTTTCGATCAATATTTCTTGAAGCAACCGTGTCCGATACATGACTTTTTAACATTCTGAAGCGGTTCAGAGTACAAACATACATGAACATAAAAGCGGACTGCCGGAATTGAAGTGAATATACCCGTGATCAGTTAACAGCCGCACGTAAAACCCTATCCTTGCTTCGCACGCGCGATATATCAAACATATTGAGGTGTCTCTGGAATAGTGCCGAGTGTCAGCGTAGTGTGTCCCAAGTGTGTGTCTGATAGACAGTCAACTTATTCTGCTAAAATTGCAGACATTAGTAATGAATACTTTTTGTGTTTTATTAGCTCTTGGGGACACCTACCGAAGAATTAAGCGGCAAATACCTTTATGCCATCATTAGTGTAATTAAAAGAAATATCCCTTTTGATTGGTAACAACATCTGGTCGATTAAGTATTGCCGTCAAGCCGAGGGAACCCTCTGTGCCCTAAGGTGATCTGTGTTAAATACATATGACGCATATTTCTTCTCAGTACCCTCCCCGGCTAACAAATGTGATCAAACTCGGCTGAAAACAAGGTAGAATAGGTAGGTGGTGATCACCATCTCTTAAACATGAATCACAAGGGACTATCCCACATAGGGTGACTTGGATTCCTGTGCAATGACTCTGCAATGTTTCTAGAATCTTCAACTTCTTCAGTGATTACCTACATATTTAAAATACATGAGGGTAGGCTTGAGTTCAAGTCGTTCAGTGTATGATTATCTAGCTTACGACAATTTTTCTTACGAAAAATAACATTTTGTGAACAAATGGAGCTTCTGGTTAGCTGTAGAATTCTAACAAATGTACCGTACGCCACCCAACTAAAAATAGTAATGAGGGAATTATGACATTATCGTTTTAGGCATCTGCCGCAAGGAAGCAAAAATTCCCTGCTGAGGATTATAGATGACCCCCGGGGGAGGTACTTTGGGAATTTCTATGACCGGCATGAGGGAATTTTCGACTGACAGCAAAAAGGTTACTCTATAAAATAAGAAATGAAGCTAACCGAATTTAGAATCCTCTACGTGCATATCTGCTGTGTTGTTTCTCTTGTTGTCAAGGGCATTGATTCAAGAGGAATTAGAAATCAGCACAATCAACATGAGCTAACATGACATCTACTTTAATTATGAGAAAAAATGACCCTTGGGAATTTGATGTGTTTTTATCATCTGTATGTTTACTGCGCACGGATGATGCTTATTTCCGATATAAGTTTGATTCAATCGCCATCTGCAAAAGCGCAAACCTCTGGAAACAAAACAAGAGATTAGACTCTGGAATATGAAATTATTCGATCCTATTTCTAAGGGAACTTCGGTGTTATGGTCATCTTAAACAGTTGCCAGTGAGTTATAAGAAGCGGGCGGTAATTCTTTTTCACTGTATTTGTTTTTCAGTTTGGCGTAGTTTGGTTCGAACAGTCACGTTAATGAAACAGCTAACTTTTCTTTTCATTAGTTCCCAACCGGTGGGGAGGTCCATCTAATAATTATAACAAACTTTCCTTGGATGACCTTTTCAACCACGTACCTCAATACAGCAATTCAAAACAGAAACTACGTGCTGCGATGTTTGCGAACTTGATCGTCGAAGAATCTCACCCCTCATACTAACGTGCATTTGTAATTGTATTTGATGTCCAGTGCGCTGTCGTTTGTGGCCTCGACAACAGTGAATGTAAATATTTTGCCATCTATTTAAGTTCATGATTGCTGATTGCTGAAGTGATGCCATGGCTTCAATGTTTTAAGCACGATAAGCTAAGAAAATGAGCCAAGTAAATCATGATTGATGACTTGTTGAATATCAATAAGGTTATTTTACTCTTATTGATTTGGGGAACAACCTCTTCGGTGTATCTCACTGATTAACGCGGTGATATATTACTCTGTCACAAGTATGATCGCACGCAAAATTCAGCCGACGGCACTAAACCCTGCTAACATTTAAACTAAATTGGAATGCATTTGTTAGAATTAACATTTCAAATGTCCAATGTAGGGGGGTATTTAATCACATGTTGGGACTGTGTTTTTATCAGCCAATCAATTTTTTGTGATTGAAATCGCGGGTACTTGGCTATCGACAGGAGCCCACCGATTACAAGTAAACCCAGTAGGTACACAGAATATGGTCAGGCACAGTATTTTTTACACTACTCCTCCAATGCCAAACGTCGTAACGCCACAAGCCACGGATTCCTCTTGATGCAAGAGACTCTAATTTCAATTTGTATAATTTCTAGTGGTGAATTGAAGAATTGCCGTTTTGACTGGTCGAAGAGATCCACCGCGCACTAAAACATTTATAAGCTTGGTTACCAAGCTACACCACCTCTGCCATCAAGACAAGTGAATTTGGCGAACATTTGCTGAATTAAACTTTCAGTTTATATTTGAAATGATCGGGTATTTTGGGAGCATTTGTAGTAAAACAGTTATTTTATTCGCGCTTGTTGGATGTGATTTCGGCCATGATCATAAATAAGCACTCACGTGATCGCGTGCAAATTACGTTACGGAGCCTATCAGAATCGAGAATTTGTTAAAAATAGGATTAGAACTGAGAGACGAAAGATTCTAGAGGATACTTTACTTTGAATTAAGATTATCGTCCATGGGCATACTGAGGAAATTCGCCAAGATCAACTCTCTTCGAAGTGATCTTGAAATCACTTGGTAGAAATCTTGAAAATGATTTTCGACAGCAAAAACCAAATACCAGACACTAACACTAACACTAACACTAACACTAACACTAACACTAACACTAACACTAACACTAACACTAACACTAACACTAACACTAACACTAACGCTAACGCTAACGCTAACGCTAACACTAACACTAACACTAATACTAACAATACTAATACTAATACTAATAATTATATTGCGGAGATATCAATATAACATTTTCAGCTGCGCATTACAATGTTCAAGAAAATATAACTACTTATAAACCCTTAATATTACTTAAAAATCCTAGAAACATCTCTAATACAAGTTCTTGTTATAATTAACAACAATGCCATTGTGGCGTCATCAGTGGTCGGACATTCTTTAGCAGTCAAGTCTATTTTTTGACTCAACTCGTTGTTCACGCGGCTAAGTTACTCAGTTCTGGTTTTAATATTGTTATGATAGTGTGTCCCTGAGGAATGCCATCGTTATCGATGACCTCGCGAACTCGTCGGGCTCCGAATTATGGCTATTCATCGGCAATTCATGTTCTCCGAACCTGTTCCAGGCTGGCATTTTACTAGCCTTTTACTAGCCCTTTACTCGCCTTAAGTAGAAAGCATCCTGTACTGGAAAAACCCTGACCTCGAGGCCTTGCGCATATGTGACATATATGGCTTGTTCAGTGTATATTGTGACGTCATTCACGGCCGACGACAACGACGAACGAAAGATCGTCGAACGTCTATCTTGCTCAGGACACACACGAGATCAAAAGCATTCCATCAGTTTAGTGAGCTTTGTCCTTCATCGAACGCAGATATAGCATGAAGATGTAGAGCTATGTGTATTTACAATTTACCATGTAGAACAAAATCGATTATTCTTAGATTTTTCTCCTTACACATCTAGATTGCATTATCGTTCTTGTTTTTAATGCCTTTTATCTGATCTTGGTTGAAACGTTCATTAACCTAACATCAAGCAAGGGGCACGCAAGCGAAGAGAAAACAATCTTGTCGATATCAATGTATGCCGCAAACGTCCTAAAGTAGCATAAATAATTTAATTTCACCAACAACAAGAAGGAAAAATTAAACAAAAAGTCAATTACGCCCGTGGTGTGTGGGACAAGCTGATATTTGAGATCATTGTAACTTACGCAAATTTACGTAAAGCTGTTTATCCGAATCTTAAAAAGCATTATAACACTAGATTCTGTGACTATGATAACAAAGGCGTCACTCTAAAAACACACCAGCTTTGTCCCAGAAACATTTATCTTCGTGTCTGCGTTTAATTTAAGAGCTGTTCCGAAAAGAGAGGTTGCCTTTAGCATATGCCCAAGGTTTGCGTTTATTGAGACCCAGTGTCATGTCTTTCAGGTAAAAGAGCATTTTCTTTACCTTAATTCTTAATCAGTTGGTTGAATGCCTAACAGGGACAGGGAACATAATTATTTACTCCGTTCAATGTTTTCAAGAGTAGCGTTTTTGACGTCGCCATTTGGCAAATGTCACAATGTTTGTAAGCAGTTCTGAGATAAACAGTTCTCCCACAGTACAATTTCCTATGACTTTTTTGACATTCTTGTCCGTAGCGCGTACCTTTTAAGCTTCGCAGAATAATGTAAACTTCAACATTATTATGATTACTATGCAGTATCAAAAGCTTTGAATATTTTCATACATTTGTCTCACACTGCACGCTAAAGAAGAATTATTTTTTAAGAAGAGTCTTGTAATCCTGTTACATTTTTCGCGAAATTTCTTCAGTATATTTTCGATCTGAATAATAGAGTTCTGGCCTTTTCTCCGTCACACATCGGCATTACGTGACCGAGAAACTACCATAAACATGGCCGCTAAGTGGTCAACACGTCAATTGTATGAGTCAAATGAGTCTACTACACAGTCCCGACACGGTTACGGTTACGTCTGTAACGGCATTTTTAATACGTTTACGAGTTTTGTCCACACCTAAACGACACCAACGTATAAATTCAAGTGCATAATCACTTCTAAAGGGAATATGCTTGTCAAATGAGAACCATATCCGCTTACGTATTCTTGTGTGAACAGCATGAACGAATACGGTATACCGAGCCATACAAGATAAACGCTGACGTCACGTCAAGTGAATGTGCACATTCTTAGTGTCAGTCTCCTACCCAGGCGCCCAGTTCCGTTTCATGTTTACGTGTGGACCAGGCGTAAACGATACTAAAAAGATCGCCGGACTCGTGTGGATGAAAATATTTACGTATGTTAAAGACATATAAGTAGGATTACCATAGAAAAAATATTCGAAATATGGAATAAGAGGAACGGGTCACCCATCTTATATTCTTTGTGATTTTTTTTAGTTGAACCGTTCACTCTACTTTATGTGCAAGCAGAAAAATTAGGATGATTGGAGAAAGAAAAGCTTGAAAACATTGAAATGGATCTACAACGACGAGCAAAAGCTCACAGGCACTGAATAAGTTCGCGTTTCCAGTGATTATTTTTCTGGCTTGATAATTGGTCTATGTTCGTTTTATCAACAAATATTGACTTCAAGACTTGAAAATGAATAAATTTTTTTTTATCCTGGTAATTTAGAAGTGAGGTAAAATTTAAATTCGAGATGTTGAAACAAGGAAAGGGTCAGAATCAGCCCAAAAGTAGATGACAAACAAAAACAATGTAGATGACTTATAAGTTTTTTCTTAGTATTGTTTTCATCGTCTTTCTGATGAAGTGAAAAGAACGCAGCTTTCCGTGACGATGACCTGTACACCCCACCTAGCGTTAACTGCAAAATTAGATTGTCAATTGGAAAAACTCAGTTACTCGCAATAAAAGGTAATAAAAGATCCTATGATCCAATTCTATTTACTCAAGGTACCGCCGACGCTTGAAATCGTGTGGTTACGCTGATGGTCTGTAAGACCGTGTTAGCAAATCACGCACGCAATGATTTATTTGTCGTCGAACCCTCAGTATAAAGTTCAATTTGTTTAGGGGTAAGTATTTTGTTTAATGAAAAACCCCTTACATTTAAAAGCAAAAAAAAAAAAAACTATTTTAGAGGGATTACGAATTAAGCACTGACGAGAAGTTGTTGACTAAGAGTGAAATACGGCTTGTGAAAAGAATATCCATCATTAGATGCCTTGGATCATTGTTTTAGGAAGAAAATCAATAGAACTGTTTTTGAATTTTATTTCTATTCCTTTTACTAGTTAATAATAATTAAACTGAGAAATTTGAGCAAGCCCATGTAAGACGCCATTACACCGCCTTATAACATCCGCATCTGCGCCCATTTAACACGACCTTTGCCATTCCAGTTGAGCGGGTTTTTTGGTTTGTTTGTTTGTTTTTTCTGTACCATGATTCCACCGGTAGGTTTCGTTCCAGAAGAATCCTGTTCGGTATAATTCTCACACAACAGGTCAACATGTTTGTAGTTTCCGAAGAATTCACACTTTGACAACGTCATCGACCAACGAATATTACACATTGTTCATTTATAATCATGTATAACTTATGGCTGTATATCTCGACATAACCATGAGTTGTCTTGCTTGTTCTTTGCAGCTATTTGTGGGATCTTTTGATCTTTTAGAAAATACTTTCTGTTTTTTCAATCGCAATTCTATGTAAGTTGTTTCTTTCTCGTTATCAAATCGCCATTCCAACTACTTTAAAAATGTTTTGTTGCCGACTGTTGAAAAATTAAGATGATTGGATGATTTTATTAGTTTATATTGAAATCCTTCCACGCAAAGGCAGTGTTGTTCGTATAGTATAAATTACAAATTCAGAAGAGTTGCAGGTGATCTATTTGTTTTAAAATATTGAGAAAAATACGGAATCCTGATCGTTTTATCAGTATCATTCGGACATTCGATATTCCGTGCGCTGAGATGACACTAATGCAAAAAATCAGCAACAGAAACAGCATGGGATGAAAACTGTTTCGTCACATGCGCATATATGGCTGAATGCAGAAGATAACAAGATTATGTTTACTTTTTCAATTAAAACTGTAATTAAAATAGCGAACCTACCTTTGTGTTGCGGTTCTCGTTGGTGCATACCGTGTGGCACTAAATTTTTGTGGGAGTTTATTTTTGCGAATCGACGATTTTTTGTATTTTGCGGAAACTATTTTTTGCGATTGCAAAAGGCCGTTTTTTCTTGCTGGGTACTAATTTTTTCGATTTTGGGGAAGTCGCATTTAACTGAATTTACAACATTTTCGCATTTTTTAATTAAACTGCATGCAACTGGCAAGTGATACAACATGTAGAGATGTAAAACACAGTAATCCAGTAATCAGTATGACAGTTACATCGTGGTCTGGCGCGGAATTGTAGAATGCTCTTCTCAGTGGAATACGTTCAGACGATCCTTTCCTGTAAACCTTTTTTAATATTTCTGAACAAAAGAGACTTTTTAAACAAATGGCAGCAACGAGAATCTACTGGTGACGTTTGTATGTATGATTTCACCACTGGAGTAAAATTTTGCGGAGAATATTTTCGCGGAAAATATTTTTGGCGGGAACTTGCTTTGCGAATCATAAAAAAAAACCCGCAAAAATCGCAAAAATTAGAACCCGCAAAAATTTAGTGCCACTCTGTAACACCGAACAAGCAGAGTCGGTATTTTGACGTATTGTGTCATATCCAGCATCAGGAAGTTATATGGTCAGGACACAAAGAAGAAACTTGACACTTTTCAAAAAATCGTGTAATTTGGCCTCCAAAAAGGAGATCAAAATGTTTCTTAATAAGAAAATTTGAAGACGTCATCGCACTTAGAAAAATTTCACCAGCCCGTTTTCTCTATTTCGACTATTTCCATGAAATCTAAGCCCCTGCTTTAGGGTTCATTGAATGAAAGAGCTGCGTGTCTGCATATTATACTTTTCAAGTTAATAGTCACACAACGTTGTATCAAGATGTGACGAGAATTAAACATATCTATCAGTTATGGAGTTTCAATATGAGGTCATGTTACGACATAAAATACTGTGAAAGCGTGTTCAACTTGTTACCATAAAGTCAGAGTAATTTTCCACTATTTGTGCAGATGGTCATGTTGTTATTCTCTCTTTCCATACTAATAGGTATTTAGAACAAGAGATATCTGTTTTATCACTGGCGCAATTACATAATTATCCATGTGAATTTTCTTTCTAGGTAAGAACATTTGTTGATCTCTTGGAATAAGAGGGCAGTCCCCTGTGCCTGCATATCAAACGAGTAGATTACCTCGGAATAGCTCCCAATACTTGTAGCTACTTCTGTGCTGCGGATTAAGCCAACTCCACCGTAATCAAAATATCAAAATAGGTGAGTCCTTTTAACCCTTTAACACTTTTTGCTCGGTTTATTTACAAAATGCTATTTCTTAAAATATAGAGCTTTTAAAGTTGACTATTAAAGTGCCCTTTATTATTCTGAGAAATTGAGTAATTATTCTGTGTTGCAATTTGACAGATACCATCTCAACTGAGCTTGTTGATTTTTGAAGTAAATTTGGTGCCTCTACCAGTACGTGGTAGTGAATGTGCATATAGTTGGATAATATCTGCATCTCATAAGATTTCCGTTGATTTCAAAGTCGTTAGTCACCTATTCATCTATGACAGCTTTCAAACACTTTCTGTGATGACCTTGTAAAAGTTTCAAAAGCTTAATTTTCTACACGCCGCACAGAGTCTTCAACACAACCCAGACCTGATCAAAAATATAAACCGTGCAACTTGCCAACAACTGACCAGCATGGTTGCTATGGTGAAAATCGATCATGAAATAATATTTACTATATTTTTATCTTCATGATTTTATATTGTTATTGTAGTTTTTTTATTATATTTTTACCGCGCCATTCTTGAGATTACTTGTTTAGTTGTAAACGATCGTGATCTTGTAATCCGGCGATTACAAAACCATTAAAAAATTCAGTTATGCGAAATTTTTAGTGCTCCTGTAGGTTTTCTCTGCTAGGTGAAAAAATTGAATAAACAGCTTCGGTCGACGTTATTAAATGTCGCGACTAAAATGGATTTTCATAAAAAGGTTCAACATTGGAAGCCCTTCGGTTTTAAGTCTTTGGAGCGCAGTAACCATCCTCATCCGAGTCATTGGCTCTAAATTCGATGTACCTCAACCTAAAAAAATTGAAAACTTGGGTTTCAAAATAATACAGCAACGGAGGTTGTTATAAGTGTTGGGGCGTCTATCGTGACCAAAACTGACTCCGTGTTTGCCCGATTCACTCCGCAGGCCAAGCGCTGTTGAATTTTTGCCTTCCCTTACTCGTTAGACGCGGGGTGGGGAGAGAGATATGACGGCATCAGTATGTAATGATTATCTCCTCCCTTTTAAGGCTGTTTTGACAAGTGTCCCGATTACTTCTGACTGGATTTAACTCATCAGTGTCTTTTTGTTCATGACAATGTTTACTGACAAGTTTTTAGAGTTCTTCTAACTTCTGTATTACAAGTGAGACCATATAACTGAAATAAGTAACAAGGTTACTCTTAACATATGTACTCATATTTACATGTATACAATGGCCCATCGCCACTGCAGCTTAATTTCGTATTTCGCATCTGAGAACTTATATAAGAAGTGGCATAACTGTTTTCGTTGGCATGGTTTAAAAAATGGTCGAGTATTTTATATGAAAAACGTAAGCAAAAACATTGAATTTGTTCTACACGGAGTCTTTTCGAGGGGGAAACAAGAAACTAGTCGTGGCACAAATTATTTAACATTGTGTTATTAATAATTAAAGACAAGCTTATTCATGACAAATCTTAGTCGCGCAATTATATTCATCTACGCATGTACTTATCACTAAAAAAATATATCCTGTGATGAAACAGAATTTCTTATCTCTACAAACATCTGCCACATAGCTGCGGGAATACTGAGGAATATCCACGAAGGCTAGAGAAAACAAATTACGTGGACCTCACCCACGCATCGCGCGTCCTTCTGAGCAATCCAAGGAAAGGAATCGTACATCCGTGTTGGTGTGAAGGTAAACAATGATTTACACGATAGCATTTGTTTTGCAATGAGAATACTGAGCTTGTGAGCGGGTAGAGAAAGGTTTGCTAACGGAAAATTTATCGACTCATTTTCACCAACCAAACTTTCTCTGGAGAGACCCTTACTGTGGCATCGAACAATGATGTCAGCTAAGAAGCTTAATCATGGGCAATTACATAGACTTTGACAAAACATTTAAATAAAGAGCGTTTGGTACTCGTTTGAGAAATAAGCCAATTCTCACCCCGACGTTGAACCATCTTCAGGGCCAATAAGCTAGCGATGACGGAAATTACGTTTAATTTCTCAGCGTTCACATTTACATATTTTCCCAGCTGCTTGTGATGGCACTACACTCAACTTTTGAAATCACTGTTCCATAGCAGCTTTCGAAAAAAACAATGGGACACATAGAACTAACGATCAAGGTAGGAATTTCTAATGACAAAAAGGCCAAGTAAATAGTAAGTAAGACATCCAGCTACTCTATACGCTAAGCGGACGGACTAACTGACTTATTTTGGACCGATGGACATCGTTTCCTTGTATTGGTTGTATCACACTTTGAGAATTACTTTGTTAGTCAGAGGTAAGCTTATTCTCATCTAAAACATTTTGTGATGAATGTTTTTAAACACAAGATAGTATTTTGTAAGTTTGTTTCTTTGATAATCACGCTTTGTACGTGTTGCTAGTGGTCGTAGCCGCAAAAAAAAGCAAGCCGCTTTTTCATATCAAAATTTACAATTTTTTGTAACTTTTTCTGTCTATTCTTAATTTTGTATTCAATTTCTGTCGTTCTTTAGGGTCGACAGTCTCGACATTTGGTTTAAACATTTTTGGTTTGTAGCTCAGTGGCAATTGTTAATCGCACACAAGTATATGTATATATATTTGCATTTGTACAATGCCCTTAATTATTGTGGCTAAAAGATCTTGTCAGGCACTAAGCAGATAACGCGCCACGAAACCTAAATGGAACGCGTTGTGTTTCAAGAAGTTTCTTGTTGGTAGGTTAAAGAATAGCTGTGCTTGTTTTTCTCAACCATGTAGCAAGTTTAATAATGCAGAACTGGTTGAATGAAAATTTTGACTCAGAGCAAATATGCTCTGATAAAAGTAAATCGACAAATGTATTCCAATTGTAAAATGAGACATGCGAGTAGAATTGTTCATTGCTGCAAACAATTCAACAAATAAACACAAATAGGAAAACTGAGCCAGTTTCTGTCCAAACTATAAACATTCACAGGGCTGTTGAACTCTTTCTACTCCTCCCCCTTTAAAAGTTATTTATATTTCATGCTGATTTTTGCTGCTGCACACTTTGCGAACATGTTAATTTGGTATTTTAATAACGACAGGATTTATGGCAGCTGTCACTAAATTTCAACTTGGCAGGCATTCAAATGGTTGAGGTGGTAGAAAACGGGGCAATCAACTCTGAGATACGAAAATATGATGCAAAATCGATAAATCAATTAACTGTTTTCTGTCCTCAGAATAATATTCCTAATTATTGATACTCTCCCCGCAGTCTAATCACTTAGATTGCTAATGAGGTCTGAGACTGAACAAACCGAAATATATTTTGCAAGAAAAGATTAATTTACCTCAACAGAAGTGTGAATCACATTAAAGCTTGCTATCCTTTCTGATCATAAAAACATTCTATTTTGTTTATGCAAGAACTCATGCCAGCATGTTTCACTTGTTTCAAGACAACTTTATTCGCTTAAAAATATGTATGATTGCTTGTCCTTGGCTAGTTAGCAAGCAAAATGGGGCGAGCAGGAAACTATCTTATAATCTTTGTAGACGACGATCAGAGTAGTTTCTCTATTTCATTGACCCCTGCTTTTAGTAAACAACTTAACATTCAAGAAGAATCGAACGCAGCACCCAAGGTGAGAAAAGACATTTTAAAATGGAATCTCCAAATCTATGTTAATGTTGCGGACAAAATTTGACGGATGGTTATCTCTTTCTCCTAAAGTGATGGCAGAAAGTTGTGCGAGTGAGAAAAAATTGGTAGTTGCTGATCAAAAAAAAAAAAAATTGAATGTATGTTCACCGGTTATTTGCACTTTCTTCAGTAATCAATTTGATCTTTCCTTTTGAGTCGTCTATTCGCCAATTTTAATCATTCATTCCGTTCATTTTCAAAGCGACAAAACCTTTGCGGTTTTACCGTCTATTTTCTGTATATAGTCTCAGTTTAAGTTGCTATTGATAAGCTAGTTTTAAATCTTCGTGACAACTGCTGATGAAATATATTATACATGTACTCGTCCTGTGCGATCTATTTGCTAAAGAAGGCAATTTAACTAAGAAAAGAACCTTTTAATTGCTCGATTCTGATTATTCTGAAAAAAAAATTCAACAATTTTTGGATTTTAAGTTTTAAAATGATATCTTACCGCCTAAGGCTGTTATAAATAGTATTTCCATATCCTAGAGCAATTTTATTCTTTACCTAATTAAGGTTTTGCGTTTTTATTGGGTGTGGCTAATTCAGCCACTTCTTGCTAATTTTACAAAGTCTTGCTAAATTGGCCTAATATTGCAATCTCGAAACACTATGGTTACAAGAGGCCGATATCGTGATCAAATTAATATTTAAAAGAGCAACATTTTGTGGCTTACACCCTGGTCAAGATTTGAAACTGACAAACATTGTTACTTGTACCTAAGGGTTTTATTCATCTTTTGTAAGTCGATGTAACGCGTCGGATAATCCCGTTGTTGTGTATTCGGGACGGACATAACAAAATGATCGCCGAAGCTGAGACTTACCGCCGGATAAAGAGAATTTCCATAATTCATAAAAGCGACTAATTTAATACTGTAAACATTGACAGATCGAATTCTTAGCGATGTTTTATTTGAACACAAGGCACTCGATGTTGACTGACAAAAAGAAAACAGCAGAAAAATGACAACGGAAAATTTCATAGCTTTGCTTTGAACAGAGATAGAGCTTACATGTGATGTAATTTCACAATGAAATAAATGGGGCAGTTTTGGGTAATTCAAGGAAACGTACTAATTACAAGTCTCTTCGGGGATTCAGGATAAAAAACACCGGAACTAATTTACAACGTCGATGAGTCATTTTCTCTTAACCGCGTTCAATTCTTCTAATTTAGTTCAGAAAAAATTGTTCTTTGTTTTGGTTTCATCTGCACATCACTTGGTGAAAGTTAACAGCGAAATGCGAACACGTGATATGTTTTCAGGTATCAAAACCCACTTGTGTGGCCGATTACGTTCGCTGTTTTAATAAGCCCCCTAATAATCTGCTGTCTTTCACTTTAAGACCGAATTAATGTATGCACTGATCGTTAGTTATTGAAAACAAAGCACTTCGCATGAATTGCTGGCGGTGTTCGTCAGCAGATGAAAGAGATTTGTCCCGAATATCTGGAGCGCGGAAACTGCAGTGTCAAATGTTTTGGCACCGTCTGCTATTAAAATAATCATTGTTGCCTTTGGAACGAGCAAACAGACGCTGGTGAAGCCTGAAATTCTGATCAGTGAAGGTATTCTGCTTGTATTTGTTTAGAATCGTAGAACATCTGTCTGTTATGAATGTAATGAACATTTTGTTGCTCGAAGAAAATTACTCGATTTGTTTTGGTCTCACCAACACAAGCCAGAACAACCGATCTACACAGCTGTGAAGAGTAAGGTTTGTGGAAACCTTGCCGCTTCGGTCAGTGAAATAGTTATTTACGTTAGCGGAGAGAGTTTTCTTTGCATGATTATTTTCTTGGAGGAAACAATTTCAAAACCTTAATTCCCTAACTTAACGTAAATTTTACGGTTTTGGGTGTGGCATAAGTATTACTTTATTGCGACAATAGAGCGACTGGTGGTGCATCTTGCCGACATAAAGTTGTGATGGTGAAGTTTGAATTCTTTCTTGTTTGCTTTACGGGTGAGTAAATGTTGGAGACTTGGTGTCAGCAAAACAAACGTGGAAGTCAGTAACACTGAATTTGATGAGACTTCTGAAAAAAAGTCCTTCCCAAAATTAGATCAGACATTTAAGCGGCGAAATGTTAGTATGGAGTAATTATGTTTCGTAATAAGACGAAAGAGTGCCGCAAATCTCGAAGTAAATTTGAAAACGTTTATCGGTTAAAATAATCTGGCATCTCTAGGATTGTTAGCAAATTTTGAATGTGGTTGCTGCAATATGGCACGCTCATTAAACATTGTTACCATGAGGCTGAATTGCTCGGACGTCCTTGTGGCTAACATGTTGTCATTACTACTTTTTTGCAATTTTTTTGATTTCTGATGAAAGGAGATAAAGGGTTTCCACTTTGAAAGATTTAGTAACTGCCAATATTTCTTTAGTGATTTTTTTTAGTGGCCATAGTCATTTTATCCCCTTCTACACCACAAGATACATGGAATGATGACTTTACATGATCAATCTTTACATCTTATCTTTCCAGCCTTCAAGTGTTTAAGATGATAAACAACTCAACCGATACAGAGTTCGTTTTCAACACCAGCGATGGCAATATTGTTGCAGCATTTTTTGTCGCTGTTCTGATGCTGTTGACTCTAGTGGGAAACATCATGGTTTGCGCCTGTTTTTACTGTTACCGTGATCTTAGAACAATTTGCAATTACTTTATCATTAGTTTAAGTGCGGCGGACATCCTGGTGGCGCTGTTGGCGATGCCGTTCTGGCTGGTATTGCAGTTAACTGACATGGATGACAAATCCAAGCAAGTATTTTCAAACGAGTTATACCTTTTCTGGAGCAGTATTGACATCCTCGTTGGATCGGCGTCCATTATGAACCTTGTAGCAGTCAGTTTTGACCGTCACCTCGCAATAACCGCTCCATTTTCCTACAGCGAATCGCTCACCTCGTTTCGAGCTATTGTCATGATAGTTGCATTGTGGGTTTTCTCTATCCTACTCTGCGGTCTTCGACAGGCCTTTGACAAAATGGGTAAAACCTTTGCGTATCAGATGGTAGTTGTGGTGGTAAGCTTCATTGTTCCGCTGCTACTTATGTTTGTTATGTACATGAAAATCTACTTTGTAGCAAGAAATCAAGCGCTCCGCATCGGTCGAAACTACGCCAAAGACATCAAAGCAACCAAGACCATAGCAATTGTTATTGGAGCGTTTGTTGTATGCTGGATGCCTTTTTTTGTTATAGTTATTCTGTTTGCTTTTGAACCTAATTATGACATGAAGACTGAGGCCTACAAAGCAATCAAGTGGTTGGAATACCTCAACTCGTGCTTGAATCCTATCATCTACACCTGCTTGAACCGAACCTATCGTCGCGCCTTCAAGAAACTTTTGCTTCGTTCATCTTGCTGTTCAGGACATGGGTCATCGGACCGTCTTAATTGCGTTCAGTCTACCCAAATGTCGTTTCATAAAACCAAAGCTGAATCTCTTTCTCGCAGTTCATCTTCGATCTCCGAGAATGGAAATGTTTTCATCCAGCGAGAAAACGGCATAGAGGGTTCCAGTGTGTAAACCATATGTAACTGAAGGTCCAAGGCCTCACCGAGCATTGTCTGGAACATGCATTTCTCGAACATCATTTGCCATCTGCCCGAGTTGCCTTTTGAAAGAACTTTGCTACCAAGTAGACTTTGGCTGACTTTTGACATTATCCGCAGTTTCATGAGCGCCAGCTTCGTGGCATTATGTAGTTTCATAGCATAACTGTATCTGATTTGCCCACAGGATTGATGTTATAGCTCTTGACAGTTTATATAAACTTTACATAACATACTTTCAAGTGTAATTTAGAACGATTAAATGTTAAATAAGCACTAATGAGTGCGATTTATAGTCTTAGGGGAATTTATGAGTGCTTATTTACTCCACCCCCCTGAATAGGAGGGTATTCGGTGCTTCATGATCTGTCACATGAGAGGATGAAGGATGAAAGATTTAATCCTCCATACATGCCTTATTCTCAAGGTAATTCCTCACTTAAAATAATTGCTAGACTTTTAAAGTTATACTTAAGCTTTGTCGTTGCGTGAAACGTAGAATAAAAGTTGGAAAACATTCTTTAAACTCCGTTTCAAATTCTTGGAGAAAATATTTCTTGAAAAACTGCATTTTAAAGAAAACGAATAGAAACGTTAAGAAACAAAAAATAGCTGGTATAAGTTAGTTATTTATCTTCTTGGCAGTTCTTAGCATAAATTCAAGAAACACTTATCTTAAGTATTAAAAATTGTCGAAGCTATCATTTATATTGCCCATTTATATTAAGTGTTGTGGTAAGGCAGAAAAAAGCCGTATAGAGCAAATGTAATAAAACGATAATTCGCAAACAATAAAATAGGATCCAGAACGATACTTTAACTGGACTGCAAACATGTCAGTGCGGTCTTCCCTTTGGCTAAGGGAATGGGCGCAGTTTGGTTCAAAATTTGTGGTCACTAATAATTGCATAACAAAAGTAACCTGTTATGTCCAGTACATAGATCGACTCTCTGTGTCATGATGTTTGCAAGAAACTGGATATTTCGAATTTTTCAACAATCGATGCAACGTAATCTTGGGATCAATCATGCTAGACTTAACAATTCGCGGATGCATGAAGTGATCCTATTTACGGATACGAGTTTGAAAGACTGTTACACTTCCCCCACACAAAAGCAGCACACTACATAACACTACACTAATAAATGGTTTACTCGCCCACCCTCCCTCTTCTCACACCCTCCATAACAGTGAACTACATGTAACAGTTAAAACACTGTCAGTGACAAAAGTCCTTTGCACCCCTTATCAGTACAGCGGCATTAACAAAAGCTCTACTCACCCTCCTCATAAAAGTGCACTATCAAATGTTATACTCAACCTAACCCAAAACAGTCTAACGTGTTTTGCCATTTTTTTTTACAAAGGATACGCCAAACGAAATGTTAAAATGTTCTCCTCGAAGTGAAAGGTTATGTTAGTTTGCACGTCCAAATACTGAGAGTTTCACGACAATTTCTTCAGATGACGGCCGGAAATAAACCTCTAACATTTAACTGTCATGTTTTGGAAAAAATCCAGCGGTCAGAGGGGCAAGGCACATAACAAGAACAACAACAGCTAGGTTAAGCTATTTGGATGTTAAACTGTAGAAACTGTCTGGACTTTTGGAACCTTTTTGAGTCAATGTTTTAGTTATTTAATTAGCAACAAGCAAGAACGTAAGATTGCGAAAACTAAACAAAGATAGGCTTTTCTTCGGTAAACAAACTGTGACGTTTTCCCAAACAAATGGGTCACAAAAGAAAGTGGCGAGATTTCAGTAATGTTCGGAAACTTCTGTTTACTTGACCTTACAAGTTCTTGGGTAGTCAGGAAAATAGAGACTGATTCATCAGTCTTAAGGATTACTGTGGTAAAGACAGACCTCAGGATAACTTGCATTTTGTTATCTCTGCCAAACTGTTTGGTTAAGAGATGGATCGCGTGTCTACATGACGTAATCCTGAATTGGCAATCACACTGTTTACGCAGGATGTTTCAACTCACGTAGCAGAACTATAAAAGCAACCTCCTCCGCTCTCTGTAAACTGAACATAACTGCACTTTCCGGTGTTTTGGAGAATTGTGATTTGATTTCCATCTCATTTGGTAAGTATTATTGCTATCTACAGCGTATATAGTGTAATCGCTAAGCTGGTAGTTATTCTAAAGGACAACCAGCGCTTTCGCTGTGACAGCGGTTATGTCCTAACTGTGTTTACTTTGGTTATCAATGAATTAATTATAAAACAAATTCGCGAACTGAAAATTTCTTTAAGTTTATATTACTTGGCTTACGGTCTATTTACATGGAGAAGAGTTATTCTTAGAAGTGCCATCTCTGTTCACCTCCCCACCCCCGTTCCGAGCCTTCTTTTATCGAGCGTTGATATTACAATCTTGTCCTTTTCCTTGTTGCTGAACCTGCTGCATACGCGTATTAATTATGTATGCCCAGTTTGCCCTGATGTGTCCCTCTTCGGATTAGAGAGCTTTTCATTCATCTCTTTATAAATAGTAACGGATTGTTTACATGAGACCTCTGAGGATTGAGGAGAATGTGTGACCACTCGCCTTCAAGGTAATGACCATAGGTGGACCAACTCTTTTTCATATAAACACTATAGCTATATATAGACTGGTAATATAAGCAAGTCAGGAGAGGAGCACTATGAGGTAACGGAGTGTGCGCAGTAGGAAGGAGGATAACAGCGGCTATTAAATTCCACGCGTATTCTGCAAATCAAGTGCGTTAAATACAGCTACTAACTAGCTATTATTTCATGGAAACGAAATTTGACTTTTTTCGGGAATATGGTTTATTTGCACCCTTGTAGTGTCATTTGTGTCCCTCGTTGCGCGTTGGGGCAAGAAACAATATTCCCTCAAAAAATGATTTTATATTCCTTAAATAATGTATTTTTCTAACAAAACTATGGCTCAGTGAGCTAAATAGATTGAATTTATTTAGGAAGATGCATTGTGCAACTCCGTGCATGTTGGACGACTGTCTGAAAGACTAAGAAAAACTGTCGCTCTCCTGTTCTTGAAAACTTTTTAAGTTGTTAAAAAAGGAAACGTTTTTGTTTTTTTCTTTAATAACTATTTTTTTGGCGTCTTATCCATCTACACAAATAGTTAATTTAAGAAGTGGACATTTCAAAAGTAATGAGAATTATACTAGGGCCGCGAAGCGGCCTGAACTACCATTAATGTCCATGAGTTGACGAAATAACAGAACGAAGGGCGTTAAGTGATCGGTCTGCTAAGCCTTCGTTAAAGAGTTCTGTTAAGAAAATTAGAATGTCACTTATAGATGACAAAAGAGGATCAATTTGCCGTCCAGAGATACGACGAGGTGGAGGTAAGAGTAGCTGCAATGAGTAGATCGGCAACGTTTGTTGGAATGCCCTCAGCTTGGAAACGTTTGTTGAGATGTGAAACACGGCCAAGTGAAGGCGAGGATACATTGGATGAACTCAATTCAGGTCGGTCGGGTCCGTTAAGAGGGTTGGACCGTTCGGTAGCCACACTGGCTGAGATATTAGAAGTCTCAGCAGAACCGGCCACCAGGGCTGGGCTTGCCAAACTGGAACAACGAGAATTAGATCATTTGGTCGATTGTTACCTTCTTCAGGGTTTTGGATATCAGATTGAAGGG